CTTCAAGTCTGCCAAGACCTGACTTAGAGCAGGGGTCAAAGAATCAAATGCCGACAGGGCTCAGAAGTAAGTGGAGTCAGCCAGATGGAGCCTGAAAAAGGGAGAATGCACGTCCGGCTCTTGGTACCATCACTGCTCAGGCCAGGGTGGCAGCAAGTTTGCAATTTTTCAAGAGAAGCCAGAAGTCTAGGTTTCTATACAAGCGCTCCTAGTTCTTCAAAGTTGAATCTCCAGAGTGCTAACCGTTACACCACGGAACCCACTAAAATGTTCGATCTTCACTCAAATTTAAAAACAAAAACAAAGAAACAGTGAGAGTGCCAAACGCCTTGTGGTCGGCCTGTGTGGGGCCAACTGCCCAAAGAGGCCAGTGGGTTGCCAACCTTCAGGAAGAACAGCGGTTGCCAAGGGGGCTCTGGCTGAGGCAGCAGAGAGAAATGCTGGCGTGGCGAGAACGCCTGCTCCGTCCCCATCCTGGGGGGTGGGTTCCCGCTCCTGGGCCTAAGAGAACTCTGACTTCCAGCAAAGACCGGAGCCCACGCCCAGGACACACCATGGCAGCATGCACAGTGTCATAAACGGAGCCTACCTTTAACTGCAATGTTGATGAGAGACCTGGGGGTAGGGTCAGGGCTTTGTAATATTTATTTCCCCCCTCCCTCTATTTATTGCCTTTTCTAAAGCTCTCAGAGAAGTGGAAATCAGATGCCAAGATCAGGTTCTCAAGGTGCTGTGCACTGTATAAGAATCTAAAAGTAATTGTGGGGCGGTGGACCTCTCCAGAAGGAAAAGAGGGCAGTGCTGGGCTTTGTGGCTGAAAATGGTAGTTGTTCCTTATAATACAAGAGCTAAAGTTTTGTTGAGTGCCTGCTATACCCTAGGCATTTGGTGTGGATGGTCTCTCATTATCCTCATAAAAGCGCTTGGAAGTAAAGTGTTATTATCTTCATTTTCTAGATGAGGAACTCAGGCTCAGAGAGGCTGAGTCATTTGGCCAAGGTCACAGGGCCAATAAGTTTAGCAGAACCAGATTCTGCCCAGGCTTTCTGGGTCCAGAATCTCAAGTGCTAACACCACCCATATACTGCTCTTCCCTGGGGGTACTGCCCAGTCCTCCCCATCCTGCTGCACCCCTGGACCTAGCACAGTGTTCGTGAAAGGAACAGATGACCACTCGCCATTGTCACATAATCCCTGACAGCTAGCTAGTCAATAACATCTTGTTGAGCATATTCACTGGGCCATGTACTATGCAAAGCACTAAACTGAATAAAACAAAGTCTGTGCCCTTTAGGGGCTTATATTCCAGTCTAGTGAATAGAGACACAGTAAACAAATACACGTAAGATAGTTTTTGGTGGAAACAAAGGAAAATTGAATACATGGTAGAGGAATGGGATGGGGTAATAAGAGGCTCCTTAGGTGCTGTTACCTGAGGGGATAAAGACAGCAGTGGAGACTGGACTTGAATGTCAGGAACGAGGCATGTCGCCAGGTCCGTAGAGAATAGTTCTAAGAGGAATATTGAATGAAAAGACCTGAGTCAAGAAACAGCTTGGTAAGTCCAAGGAATGATCCCTTCCCCAAAAAAAAGCAGGGGGCAGAGGGGAGATGAAGTCAAAGAGGTGGGGAGAGGGTTAGATCAGGCAGGATCTTGTAGGCCACGGTGAGGAGCCCGGCTCCCATCCTACAGGCAGTTGGAAGCCACTGGAGAATTGCAGGCGGGGCAGGGATACCATGTGATCTGCAGTTTGAAAGGGTCTCTCTGGCTGCCATGCAGAGGACAGATTGTACCTCCAAGGGTGGAGGGGAGGCAGCAACGAGAAGGTGGTGGTAGTAGTCCAGGCAGGAGAGGTTGGTGCCGCGGACTAATGTGGCAGGAGAGGTGGTGAGAAAAGGTCCTATTCCCCCACATTTGGGAGGAGAGGGCAACAAGACTGAATAGACTGACTGTGGAGTGTTTAGGGGAGAGAGGCTTCAATGATGACTCCTAGATTTGTCCCCCGAGGAAGTGGACAAATGGTGCTATTTACTGAGATGGGGGAAATTAGGAAGGAAAAGATTTGGGAACCAGGAGGAATCCATAGTTCTCGTTCTCGCTTGGCTCTGTTAAAGCTGAGGTACTTCGTCCTCATCCAAATGGGAATGATGAGTAGGCAGATAATCTGGAGCTGAGGATAGGGGCTGAGGTTGGAGGAAAGATCAGCCTGGGAGTTGTCGGGGTGTCTGTGTGTGTGTGTGTACATGTATATGAAATGATGTACATACATATGTATGCACACATATTCGTACATGATATATACAGTACTTAAAATCATGGGACTATATTACTTAGTCATAAAAAAAAATGACATCTTGCCATTTGCAACAACATGGATGGACCCAGAGGGTATTCTGCTGCGTGAAATAAACCAGGCAGAGAATGAGAAATACCTTATGATTTCACTTCTATGTGGATTCTAGAGAAACAAAACAAACGAAACAGAAATAGACTCATAGACACGGAGAAGAGACTGGTTGTTGCCATGGGGGAGGGGCTGGAGGTGAAATAAATGAAGAGGATGAAGAGGCACAAAATCCTAATTGCGGTATAAATTAGCCAGGAGGATGAAAGCATAGCACAGGGAATATAGTCAGTCACATCGCGACGCCACTGCACACTGACAGCAGCAATGCTTCCTCGGGCGAGCACTGAATAAGGCAGGTAACTGTCGGATCACTATGCTGTACACCTGGAACCAATGTAATACCAACTATACTTCAGGAAAAAAAAATTAAATGAAGCTACGGGCCTGAGTTAGAACCCCTGGAGAGAGTGGGGAGGAAGAAGAGAGCCTACACGTCCAAGTTGGCAAGAGCACGAGCCAGGGAAGGAACCAAGCCTGAACAGCCAGGGCGGCAAGGGCAACACCAGGGAAAGCAGTGTGCCAAGGGGGCAGCACCAGGCGGCCATGTCAAAAGTCGCAGAGAGGTTGAATAAGATGAGGAGAGAGGATGTGAAATGAGGGGCTACCGCATAAAGAAAATGCTTCTGAGGAGCTTTGCTGCACAGGCCTGCAGAGGGACCGGGCAGAATTGGGAGAGATTTTGCTTCTTGCTTTTTTTTTTCCCCACCAGAAGACACAAAGAGTCCTTTTTTTTTTCATTAAAGTATCATTGATACACAGTCTTATGAAGGTTTCACATGAACAACTTTGTTTCAACATTCATCCATATTATCAAGTCCTCACCTCACACCCCCTTGAACTCACTGTTCATCAGCTTAATAAGATCGCCTTCCCTGTGACCTACCCATACTGTGAGTGCTGATTATAATGCCCCTTAATCCCCTTTTCCCTCCCCACCCCTCCCCTTTGGTAACCACTAGACCCTTCTCAGAGTCTGTGAGCCTGCTGCTGTTTGTTCCTTCAGTTTTGCTTTGTTCTTATACTCCACAAATGAGGGAAATCATTTGGTACTTGTCTTTCTCCACCTGGCTTATTTCACTGAGCATAATACCCTCCAGCTCCATCCATGTTGCTGCAAATGGTAGGATTTCTTTTCTTTTTATGGTTGAATGCTATTCCATTGTGTATATGTACCACATCTTCTTTATCCATTCATCTACTGATGGACACTTAGGCTGCTTCCCTATCTTGGCTATTGTAAATAATGCTGCGATAAAGATAGGGGTGCATGTATTTTTGAACCAGGGATCTTGTTTTCTTCAGGTAAATCAGGAGGGCTTCTTTTCATAGCAATGGGAGGGAGAAGTGGATAGCACAGAAGAGAAAGAGAGTAATTGCAGGGTTGAAGAAATTGAGGAGGTGAGGGGGTGGGAGTCAGGGTGCAGCCACCCCAGGGGAGGGGAGGGCGTGGGGAGGCAAGGTTCCGTAGTTCCCTGTATGTCTCTTCTCTGTTAAGAGATACTGATGCTGGTCTTTGGGGTGAATAATACTGGCTACCAGTTATTAAGCATGCACAGCTCATAGTAAGTCCTGTCCATGCGGACCTCTGCTGATGGGGGATGGGTGGGGAGGACACAAGAGTAACGTCACAGAGGGGGCCTGGCTCAAGGCTCGAACACGGAGGAGCGCGAGGCGCTCTCTGCTCCTTATCCCTGAAGTGACTGGTCCCCAGAACCCCACCTCCTCTTACTCTTTCCCTCTTTTGCCCCTTCCAGAAGGCTGTGGAACTCAGAAGGCCGAACAAGGGCCATGCTCCTAATGTGACTGGTCAATGACACAAGAGGTACGGAGGGGAGCAGGGCTGTGCCTATGGTGGCGAACTCCTTCAACTGTAATTGCGCAGCCTTTTGATTCAGTGTATCTATCCATGTATGTTTGTTCTAGAGAAAGAAGCCTACTTTTTTTTACTTAAAAGTGGTCTGTATGTCAATCACCTAGCTAACTAAAAGGCCTGGCTTAAGGAAACCAGGTAAGGAAAGTCTAATCTGTGAAGCCTTACTGCCAGATGGAAGTATTTTTATAACTCCTATCAAAAAGCTAGACGGTTAAGGGAGAGACAGGTTACCCTCTGCCAAAATACTAAGCTGGCAGGGAGCCATAGAAATGGGGGAGATTAGAGAATATCTTAGCCTCCAGAGCATAGAGATCACCAAGCACAATTTCTTTTCTTCTGTGCACTGAATATGCGAAGGGAGAATCAAGAACAAGCGACAAAGTATATGAAACAATCAGAGAGACACATTCTCACCGGAGAAAAGACACCAACAGAGGAGGAAGCAGACAAGTGCTTCTGAGGCCGAGCCGGCCTGAATAGCCCGATACTCACCGAAGGGTTTTTTTTACTCTAAATTAACAGAATCATGTTCTAATCAAGGTCTGTGAATAAGATTAAAGATTAGAATAAATTAAGGATATCCTTTTTATTAAAAAAGTTAGAAAGGCACCAGATTGCTTAGCACTTAGCAACACTTCCAGTTCAGCTATTTTAATGAGTAGCTTGACTTTTGTTTAAAAAAGCAGGAGCCCATGGTGACCATCTGTTTTCTGAGATAAATGGGCCTCATCACTGGCACCACAGCCAACCCTCATCATTTGGAGAAGGAGAACTTCTCAGAAGGATCTCCAAAGAAACCTAGAGAGAGAAGGCAGCCAAGGTGTGGGAGTAAGGCTGTACCCCACCAGGTGCCCAGCTCAGATAAAAAGGCAGACGTGGGAAATCGGTCAACCATGACAGTGAGGAAGGACGGAATGTGGGGAGGCTTCCGGGGGACCAGGGGAAGTTCCAGGGGTGGACGGGAAGGAGAGGCCCCAGCAGTACGTGTTGGCTTTTTGCTGTAGGAGCCAGACCCCATCCCGGATGCCATGCGGTGTTCCATTAGGCGCTGCATCATAGCCTCAGTGAGCATCGGATTCCTGTGGCTCTTCACCATTTTGGAAGTCCCCAGGGAAATTGAAGATGACCGAAACGCGATGGCCATCAAAGGCCAAGTAGCAGCCTTGCTCTCCGTGGGGGAACTGAGGACGTGGGGTGGGAAAAGTGTGGACGGGCAGACTCTCAGAAGCACCTGTACCTTTCCGCCTGAGAGCAGGCGGCTCCACAGGGTGCTGGGGTGTGGGCCTGGAGCCCCTGGTCCACAAAGAAGCTACCATTTTTTTCTTCCACAATTGTTAAGAATGAGAGCAAATACTGCTTCACCCTGGATGCCCTGGCCAGCAGTCAGACATCCTGCGAATGTGCTGGGCTCGCTCTAGGGAGAGCGATCCACTCCACCTCTTTCCCTGGGAAAACTCATAGGAAGCCACTCGGGGCTAAACCCTGTTCTTTTTATGAAAGGAGGTTCACGTTTTGCTTTGTCAATGCCCCAGGAGGACAATTACAGGAGAAGGAAGGACCTGAGACCACCAGAAGACTGGCAGACTCTCACCTTCAAGTGTATTAAAACAATCCCACAGAGAAGAAAGAGTGAATTCCAAGGATGGGAGTGGGAGCACCCCAGGGGAAGCGGGGACATCAAGGGAAGTCAGGTGTCTAGGAAGGAAAAGTAAAGGGGGAGGAGAAAAAGCAGGACTGCGCCTGGGAATATTTGAATCCGACAGACAATTCTCTCCTCCCCAAGAATCTGTGTATCAGGAATGAGGAAGAAGGAGGGAAAAGATAAAGTGGTTATAGGAAGGCAGAATCACTGGATTAGGGAACACTGGGATTAGAAAGGGTCTTGGAGTCACAGTGGCCAACCCCCCGAGTTTTAAATGGATCAGGAACTAGGCTCAGGGGTGAAGGGACTTGCTCAAGGTCACAAAATCAGTGGCAGAACTGGGACAAGAGTCCTGGGCTCCTGACCTCTAGAAGTGCTTTCGCTGATGTCTCCTTTTCAAACGAGAGCTTACAGAAGAGGAGCGGGTTAGAAGGAAAAATGATTAAAACAATTTTAACAATAGCTGATATGTATGGAGAACTAAAACTGTGTGCCACAAAATCCTGGCTCAAAGATGACTCAGAGGGACTCACAGGGATTCAGCATCCCCTAGCTTAGTACTTTTCAAACTTTAATGTGCTTACAAAGTCCCTGGTAACATTGTTAAAAATGCAGATTCTGTTTAGCTAGATTTGAGGTAGGGGCCCGGACCCTACATTTCTAATAAGCTTCAGATGGAGCAGGTGGTGCTGGACTAAGGCGACACTCTGAGTAGCAAGAGGTCTCCTCTACCACAAGGGAAGAGATGGGGAACAGAAGGAAGAAGGAAGAGGCAGGTCCGAAAGTGTGACCCCACCCCCAATTGGCTTGGCCCCCCTTACACCAGCGGACACTTACGGGTGACCCTACTTTACCTCCTCAGCATGGCTGACGGTGGGGATCTCCTCTGTGCCACACCTGGGTCAAAACAACCTCTTGTACACTCTGGTCAGCTCGTTCCGTGCTGCCTCTAAGGCTGAGCAGAAACATCTCTCAGTCCTGGTCCACCTGGCAGCTTCTGATCTCACCAGGCTCCAAGAAACCATTGTCCGTACTTCAAGCCTCTTCAGCTCACAGATCTCGGCAGGACAGTTGATACTGATCGGTGCTGCCCCAGACGCCTCCCCCACTGTGGCTGGCACCACGGACAGTGCCCTTAGTGGGGAATCCTACTTCAAGCAGAGTACAGATCACGCCTTCCTCAGGAGCTTTGCCACAAACCTCTCCGATTACTTTCTGGTACTGGAGGACAACGTCTTTTGTGCCCCTAACTTTGTCACCCACATGCTTTGGCAGGTGAACACCATGAGGCCCAACCCGTGGGTCCTACTGGAGCTCTCAGATGTGGGGTCCCTTGGTCGACTCCCCCACAGCAGGGACCTCCCGGCCCTGGCTCACTTCCTCATCTTCCCCAAGGAGAAGCCCCTTGACAGGCTGACCCCTTGTTTCCGTGTTCTCCTGGCCCAGAGAAACCCGGGCCTCTGCAGTCCTTTCTTCTTCTACCGCCGGCTCTCCTGAATGTCCAGTGGTGGCCAGAAGGCCGTACCAGCTCAGAGAAAGAACCCCTGTGGTCCTGACAACCCACCGGGAGCCATTTTCACAGATATGAAGGTTTTTGATGCTCATTTTCCCTGGGAGGCCTATACCCTGGATGAGTCATTCTTTTGGACCCGCAATGTCAGTCATTTTGAACCATCCTGCACACTTGAGCAAAGTACAGGTGTTGACAGGCACCACTGTGGATGGAAAGTGCGCCCTAGCGAAGGGGCAGGTGGAGCTGGGCCGTGAGCCCGAGGGGGTGCCTTGCATTGTACTGGCTTCTCCTTGCTGGGCCATCTCCTGGAAGGGCAGGTGGATCAGGAGATTTTTCAAGGAACAATGGGATTCGCAGTGAGCTGTATAAGGCTAGTGGTGAAAGCTAATCAGGTTGGTGGCCTCATAATCAGGCATATTAACCTCTGGGGGGAAAATGCCAAAGAGATGGAAGCAGCTCAGAGTTGAAAGTAAATCGGTAAGGGTATGAAAAATTAAAATCTTGAAGCCATTTCATTGTAGTCTATCTGCGTGACATAGGGGAGATGCAAGGGAAATGAGGGGCAAAGAGAGAAGGCTCTGTCCTTCTTTTGGTGCCACCAAGCTGTTAGGAGACCTGTTCCTTCCTTTTTCTAACCAAACAGGCAACTGTTACAGGGTGTCTTTTTCCAGGGCAATTTTAGCTGAGCCCAATTTGAGGAAAGATCTTGGTCACCCCCAGAATTCTCGGGATGCTGAGACCAGCACAGATAGTGTGTTTGTGTCTGTACGTACACATACTTAGATGCTTACACAGAGCTGGGGGTTGGGGGGAGAGGCATAATGTAACAGGAGGGTGAATGGGGAAGACTGACACCCTTGAAGCCAAGAAAGGGACTCTCAGAAGTCAAGGTCTATGAAGTTCAGGCAAGCAGCAGACGGATCAGTAGCAGCGCAGCTTAACTCTACCCCTGAAGGCCGTTGCATAGTGCCAATCTAGCTCCCTCCTTTCCTCACAAACTTGGGCATAAATTTGTAACTAAAGCTTCACTTTTTCATCACCAATTCATCCCTTAATTCCCCCTCTGGCTTCTACATCCACAGTGCTGCCAAAACTGTTCCCTATTTGAAGTGACAAAAACAGTGACAACCCCAGTGCATTTTTTTCCCCTCAATTCTCTGTAGCAATATCCAACACTAAGCAGTCTTTCTTCTGGAAACACTCTTCTTCCCTGACTTCTGGGATCCAGCCATTCACTAGATATTTATTGAGAGCTGACTATGTGCCAGGTACACATAAAACCCCCTGTCAGGGTTAAGTACAGGGTCTTTGGGGAGCATAGACCTGCTCTTCCTAAAACACTCTCGGGGCTTAGGAAAGGCTTTTTATAAGATGTGACATCCAAGTCTACATCTGCCAGATAACTACAGAAGATAGCCAGGTGATGTGGGAAGAAGGTCAGGGAGATTTTCCAGTAAAAGAAACGGCATGCCGAGAAGTGGGCCGGAGGCAAGAAAGAACATGGTTTGTTTGGGGAAACACAAATGAGCAGGACTGGAGATGGAGCGCAAGCTACAGTAGGACTGGGGCAAAGACGAAGCAAGACGACTAAGAAAGGACCAGCTTAAGAAGGGCCATAGAGATTTCAATGGGGGAAAGAATAGTCTTTTCAACAAATGGTGTTGGAACAAATGAATAGCCACATAAAAAAGATTGAAGCTGTACTCCTACCTGACATCATATAGAAAATTAACTCGCAGTGGATCATAGATCTAAGTACAAGAGCTAAAACTAAGAAACCCTTAGAAGAAAACATAGGTGTAAATTGCGACCTTGGATTAGTCAATAGTTTATTAGATATGACACCAAAATCACAAGCAATCCAACAGATAAGATAAGCAAATCAAAATTAAAAACTTGTGCTGCATAGGACACTATCAAGAAAATGATAAGTCAGCACACAGAATGGAAGAAAATACTTGCAAATCATGTATCTGAGACTGACATTCAGAATATATAAAGAACTCTTACCCTCAGTAAGAAGACAATCCAACTAAAAATGGGCAAAAATTAAAAATAGACATTTCTCCCAAGAAGATATACAAATATAAGCACATGAAAAGATGCTCATCACTAGTCATTAGGGAAATGCAAATCAAAATCACAATTGAGATACCATTTCACACCCACTAGGATGGACACAATAATTTTAAATAGGAAAATAAGTGTTGGTGAGAATTTGGGGAAATTGGAACCCTCATACATTGTTGGTGGGGTTGGAAGACTGTTCAGCAGTTCCTCAAAATGTTAAACAGATTATCGTATGATCCAGCAACTCAACTCCTAGGTATATATACTTGAGAAAATGAACACATACAACCACACAAAGATTTATACACAAATGGTCATAGCAGCATTACAATAACCAAAAGGTGAAAACAATCCATGTGTCCATCGATCAATGAATGGATAGGCAAAAAGTGGTACATCCATTCAATGAAATATTACTCAGCCATAAAAAGGAATGGATATAGGATACAACATGCATGAACCTTAAAAACAATAATGCAACATAAAAGAAGTCAATCACAAAAGGCCACATAGGATATGATTCCATTTATATGAAATGTCCAGAATAAACAAATCCATTAGAAACAGTAGATTAGTAGGCAGGGGCTGGGGAAAAGGAAACAGAGAATGACTGCTAATAGGTACAGGGTTTCTTTATGTGGTAATGAAAATGTTCTAAAATTGTGGTGATGGCTGCACAATTCTGTGAATATAAGAAAACTATTGAATTGTATACTTTTAAAAGAGGAATTTTTTTTTGGAATTTTTAAAAAATTGAAAGGGTGAATTTTATAGAATATGAATTATACCTCAACAAAGCAGTGATTTAAAAATAAAAGCTATGGAAGCATATTAAAGGGTTTAGACTATCCTAATGACAACAGGGAGTCATTAAACAGTTATAAGCAGGAGGGTGAAGTGACCTGTACTATGCTTTGGGAAGATCAGCATAGGTATCGTGTACAGACCACTCTGAAGGTGGTCGGGATGGGGAAACCAATTAAACAATATGCTCGAGGTGTCTGTCTCGGTGCCTGGCATATAAGACATACTTAATAAATGACACTTTCCATTTCCCTTTCCTGTCTCCGTCCTTCCCTACCTTTTTCCCCATAAATCCTATACTGATCCATATTTCCACATACTTCTCTGACTAGTTATTGCCTCTGTCACTGAATCCATTTTCCCCACCCGCCCTTAACCATGGGAACATCCCAAGGCCTCTTATTCGTCTGCATCTCCTTTGAATTTTCAGTCATTCTGATAGCGTTACCTGAATGAACTCCCAAGTATTACTTCAACTGACACCAGCCTCTGAGGTCTCCAGCCTGGATGGATACCCTCCTCTTAGCCGTTTTATTGCTATCCCAAGGGCAACATGTTTAAAACCAAATTCTTTAGCTTGTTCCAAAAGCCAATAAATACCCCCCTCCAGACATGTCTATTTCTGACAATGGTCACCTTACACACATAAACTCAAAACCTTAAAAGAGAGCTTTAAAAAAGTGGTCTATGAACCACTTGTATCAGAATCACCTAGCATTGCTTATTTAAAATGCTTTTACCAAATGTTGCCCATTCTCCAGTAAGGGTGTTTCAACCTCTGCAATTTCCTATTTTCATATCTTCCGCAGTCCAGGCCTATGGCTCAGGCTCATGTTCATGCTTCCATAGAGTGGCCCCTAAGAGCCAAGGAGCATTGTACATCAGGCCCTGGGCACTGGGGATGAGGTAAGAGACAGTACACTGGCCTTGATGAGTTCCTAATCTAGTGAGAAACAACTGAAATACAGAATTAAGGGAGCAGAAGGGGAGGGAGCTGACCTTGGCTGGAACCATTGGGGAAAGTTTCAGAGGTGACAGTGAAACAGATGAGATGTTTGGGAAGTGGAGGGAAGGGTGTTCCAGGCTGAAAAGTGTGGGTGAATGACAGGGAGCTGAGATCCTCTCAGGGCATCCTGTCCCTGCACAATGGCTGAGGCCCTACCCACACATCCACCTGGGCTCCGAGATGGCATAGGTGGGGAAGGCAGGCCTAGAGTAAGAACCCAGAAGCAGAGGTGTGGGGTTTGGAGTCTGGAGAAGGTGGAGAGCAGAGGGGCCTGTGGCCTGCATGCCCTATTTGAAGGGCAGAGCTGCCACCCAGCTTTAATGAATTGGTGCCACATATGAATGGGGCCCAGTGTTGTGAAATCTGGCCATTTTTCCGGAGCTGGCAATCCCAATTTTTATCTTAGACCTCCCAATTTTTAAACTGCAACTAATTCAAAATATACAAAAACAAATTTTTAAACACCATGAGCCAGCACTCTGCTCTGCTTTGGGGAGGCTTTCCCAGGTTACCAGTTTTCTCTGGGGTCACAGCACCTTGATTAGGTTGCAACTTTCTTGGGCGCTCTGGCAATCATTTACCTTCAGAAGCACCACTGGTCACCTAGGTGGATTCTTGGGACCGATCTTTGTCTCTATCAGTAACACAAACCACCTCTGAGCCTGGATTACCCTCCAGATGGCTGAATTTATGTGTTGTTCAATGTATTCGCTCTGTGTTCCAAGGCTGGCGCCTTCCTGATGTTGACCCGCCCACCCTATGTGGGACTTAACGTCTCCTCAAAGAACCATACCATTCGGGATGAGCATCAGATGACTGACAGCGAGTGCTGTAATTCAGAAGAACCCGCTGCGGGGCATGGACTGTGGGGTCTGGCACCACAGTTTGGGGGGCCAGACGAGATGGCTGAAGTTTAGGGTTTAGGGTGGAGTTCAGGCCCCATCCTAACTGGATGTGACTGAACTAGCTGGAGGGCAATGTGAATCGGTCACACGTGCCAAAATAGGCAGGCCAGGTCCCCAAGATGGCCCTCCTGCCCGTGGGTTGGCTGTGGGTCACCCTGAAGAAGGTGAACGATGAAGGCAGACAGTGAAGTGAGTCCCCGTGGGGCTGGCAGACAGGCAGTCAGAAAAGACAGCGACCCGGTCACTGCAGGATGGTCGCGGGACACTGGCGATGAGACTGAGAATGGCTTGCTTTCTCAGACCTCTTTTTAGAGAACCCCAGGTGAGGGGTGGGGTGGGGGGTCATGGCTACCTGTGCCTGACTGAGTCTTACTGGCCTGCCTTCCCCAGAGCCGCCTCCTCTGGGACATCTTTTCCCTCCTAAAGCAGATGCCCTGCACCCTCTTTGAAGTGAGTTAGTCTGGGGGAAGCCGAGGGAATCACTGATCAAAGCTGCCTAGTGTCCCTGGGGGCAGGTGAGCCCGGCAAGGATATCAGCCCTGGTCTGAGAAAGCAAGAGGCTTGTGCCAGCCCGCATCTGCTCCCGCCTCCTCCAGCTCCTTGCTTGGGCGTTGGGCACCAGTGAGCTGCCGAGGCTTGGGCTGGGTTCCCGGCTCACCCTAGGCCCTGGTCGCTACATAAACAGTTCCCTTGCACATCCTCCTTCCATGCCCTGCCTGC